AAATGATATAAAGAATAATCTATGTCAAGCGTGGGGTTTTTGTTTATTTTGTGTTTAGTATGGTAAACTAATTTTATGTTTATGGGGATATGTTTGTCTTGATGTGAAATTGTTGGTTGTTTTAGTTGTAGGGTATCGATTGTTGATTTTAGGGAATTGTTTTGTTTGTTTTTTACTTCTATATATAGGTTGAAATTTTCTTAAGCTCCTATTTTTAGAGCAAGCTTTGTTGAAATAGTTCCCAAAAAATATTTGAAAACTATATTAATTTCAATTTTTTTAATTAAATCACATTTAAGAATTTATTTTTTTTTAAAATTAATCGGTTGATTTACGTTGCTCTGTATCTTCAGACACGGGTTATCTCTAGTATAAATATATTATATAGCGTGATTGATTAGGAAGAAAAAAATTAGAGTGCTTAATTAAAATATTCACCTTGAATAAAATTTTTGGCTCCACCCCTGAGCATATGTAACTCAGCTTGCAGTAACTATGTACTTCGATTTTGTTTTCCTGTAAAAATGTTGATCCTATTCATTCTCTTCTTGCTTCCATATGTGACAACTAGTAAGGGATTCAATTTTTTTTTCTTGTCACAAATAGGTTTGTCAATAGATCGAAATTTGATTTAGATTGAATTTTTTAACCGATTATTCAAATTTTAAAATAAAAATTGTTATATTATATTTCATGAATTTGAATTTAAATTTACCAATATGTGCTCTAATTATAATACGATCTGAATTCTATATACATACATAAAATATCAAATGAAATTTAGGGATACGAATTCAAATGAGTTTGAATCATTTTGAATCTCTTGACGGACATAGATTTTAGCTCCTAAAACAGACAAAAGTCTTAGATTTTTCAAAGATCTTACAATCATATGGATATGTTTGGGACATGTCCTAGATCAGTAGTTTCTTGATCAGCTGACTGAATTTTGACCACCACATAAAGCTAATATAAATGTCGGCCAATTCGAGCGGAAAATATTGGACGAAACTGTGATATTATATTAGTATTATCATGTAATATTATTAATTAATAATATGTAAATAAATAAGAAAACATACCTCATACAAATCAATAACTTTTTTTTTTTTTTAAGAGGAGTGGGGAGGGTGGAAGGGGAAGGGAGTTTGAACCCTTGACCTCAAGAAGGTAAAATCTTCATAAAATAAGGAGTATTATTATACCAAAGGTTTGTTGATAATAGAAATTAATAACTACCTTTCTATGTAAGCTAATAATTACTCACTCTACTTCCATGTAATTTAATAACTACTCAATTGAAATTCACTTTACCCATTTAATATTTTATTATTGGTTAGTTGTATCATGTGAAATGTTGATATGACATTACTTTTGCATTGAATATTTACTCTAATTTGAGATGCATGACTTGCCTCGATATATATGTGTTTTTTAATTTTTTTAAGCGGACTATCTATCATTAACGAGTCAGATAGTCTCTTGTATATAATGGATCTCATTTGAAATATGATATGTAATCGATCAAAAAGATAATTGAAGAAAAAATATATTAGAGAGGATAAGACAAAAATAATAAATTTTTGAAAATTTGTTTAAAAAGACAAAAAACACTAATTTTTGTAGTATAATGCTGGAGAGACCGTTGTTTAAAGAATGAGTAATGCTATTTAAACTTAAAAATTTGACTTAATTTGTTGATCTAATAATGCAGCTTTATTTGAACCATTGGATCAATACTAAATTTTATTGTTTAATGGAGCCCAAAATCGATTCAAAGACAAAATAGTAAATTAGGTCAATAAAAAAATTAATAAATTAGATCCCAATAGCATTGCTATTGAGAAGTATACGAGGAAGTATGAAAAAAATGGCGTATTAACTTGCAAAAGTGGTCATATTTAAGTTGGGTAATGTTAAAATTGATTCAATTCGTTCATGATCTTTATAGTTATGATACGATTAGGTTTAGATCAGAATAAGTCTGGTATAATGTGTTTGTGTTGTATATAGTTAAGTTACTAGTTTATTAAGCAAAGTATAAAGGTAAAATTCAGATTCATTAGGTTTCATATTTATTTTGGTTTGAATGAATTGCAATCACTAATTGAAAAATGATAAGAGAATAAAAAGAATAAAATAAAATAATTTACATATCAAAGTTTTATTAGATAAAAGTAGAAATATAATACTAAAAAATTTATTTTTTTGGATACCATAATTAAACTTGAAATCAATGCCGGGATTATCAACCCAACCTATTAAATTTCAACTAGGTAAATAAAAATGTTAACTCCAAGAGGATTACCTCCATCAAAGTTAACCCTAGCTCCATTTAAGAGGTAATTCTCATTTAGAGAGTGTCGCACGCGTCGATCTTTTAATACGTGTAATAGTCAATCATGACTCACACAGTTGACGAGGAATCGAATCCAGACCCAAAGCGTTAATATAGTTCTTTTAGACAATCGAGACTCGTTCTATTAATCAAATTGTTCTGATGCTCAAAAAGTTGGTCCCAAGAGATTGTTAAATTTCTAATTTAGATTGTTTGTACAACTCACCATATTTACACTTGAATTATCTCTTAATTTTATTTTTTTTTACTAGATATTTAAGTTTGTACCGATTATTTTTTTCAAACTTGAAGGCTTACCACCTGACTACCTATTTGAGTTCAGGTAAAAAGAGTAAGCAAGGCTAAAAATGCTTGTGGGTTGACCCATTTCATTCCATAGAATTTAGTGTCTTGCAGGGTTCGTGATGAGGTGTACTTTATAAATTATACAGGACGTGAGTAGGCATAATGTAGAGGAGGGTGGATGGACCATTTGGTCACTCTTTCCAAGTTTTCTTTGGTAGGTGTAGTGGTTGTTGGAGAGGCTATACTATTTGTTTGTTTGTTTTCTTTTCGTACCTAAGTGGGTACGTCCAAAATCATCCACACGTAGGATGTAAGGTCTCGTTTGTCGGCAAAACATTCACAATAATATTATATTTATCAAATTTTTAATCATAAATAATGTATCATATTAACAACCTATCAAAGAAATAGATCACATTTTATTCAGCCGGTGGTGAATTTGTCACGTTATTTGGAACGAGATACTTGGTATACGGAGATTTCTCAAATATTTATGTATGACAAGTTTAAAATTCTTTAAAATCATCGTCATATTAATGGTCATATATTGGTTTTGTAGTTTAAGAGAAAGAATAACTTGTCAACTAAAGAAAACTCCACGAGTTATTCTTTTTATGTATACAAATTCGATTTTCATATGATAATTTTTGATTTATCCAATTATGTGGTTTTATGGGTGTTTGTACTATTCAGAATATGTATTGTAATCATAAATCCAATGAATACATGCCACGTACAACTCGTAGAAAAAATTAAAAATAAAATAAAGAGAGGACAAACCTCAATATTTTACCTTAGAGGCATTTGATGAGGAAGAAAGGAATATTGTTGTGTGCTTGCACATCTTTGCTAAAAGATAGCATTATGCTGATTGTGAGAGGACAATTCATGAAGTGTGAGTGGTTGTAGTTATCCTATGTTCCCAAAAAAAAAGAAAAAGAGGACAATTCATGACTTGTTAAAGGATTAAATGGGCAATTTAGTGGTCTAAAGAGCTATTTGCTTCAAACAAAACCCTAGTCTTGATGAGTTAGAAGAAGGATTTAAACTAGTTCGAGTTAGAATAACCAATTTCAAAGTTTGAGAGAATAATTAACATAAACTTAAACATCTTATAAAGAAAAAAAAAAGCCAAAGTCTCTGCAACAAGCTTGGGTGTCAACTGACACAACCAAACAAGGGTCTAAATTCCATGAGTTTCTTCCCCATTCATTATTTGACTAAACCTTTCTTATAAATCAATTTTACCATGATTATATCCACCATCTGAGGCAGTATTTTCTGTACTTTTTTTTCTCTTTTTTTGGCAATTATATAATCAAGTATGAGGTGACCACACCCACTGGCTAAAACAATTTGGCAGATGCAAGTTATTTTATTGTTGTTGTGGGCTCAGATTATTAAAAAAGTAATTTACGGAGTAACTTAAATGTGAAGAATAAATGGTGTAGTCTCAATGTTATGTCCAATAGATTTCCTTATGCAAGATTTATATGTCGTTATATGTATATATACACGTATATTACGGTCATGAACAAAAAAGTATGTGATTGAGACCGTTAAATAACTACAAAAAACCTTTTTTTGTGAAAAACATGTTGACAACATATGATACAAGATAATGTACAATATCTTCTAAATACTTTAAGTGATCAAAGAAGTTCATGGAATAACTCTTTAGGATGATACTAGCAATTGGGTAGGTCTAAAAAATTGACTAACTTTTAGGTGGGGATGGTGACATCATAACTGCAGCCTAAGAAAATATTCCCTTGTGTATGAATCATCAATCCGTCTGTGAATCTGGAAATGCAAGCAAAGGTTTGCCCCTTCTTTGCTCCTCTCACTCTCTTAATTTCCTATTTGGCAAGCAATCAACTTTTGAGTTTGTCTTCCCACCTATCTGTCACTCTCATTTTTCCTATTGGGTAAATAATTGATTTTTTTTATTACCATGAAAGTGCTTTGTTGCTTTACTTGAGCCTGTTTTTCCACCTCTCTGAAGATAATCAACTTTCCAATTAGCTATTATATATTCTTCCTTTGCTGCTTTACTTGAGTGTGTCTTCCCACCTCTCTCTCTCTCTCTCTCTTCAACACACAAATTGGAACTTGGTAACATAATTGCTGCTGTGCAAGCAAAGATTTGCCTTTGCTTGGTTGTTTACAGGGAATATTGCTGAAAACCCACAACTTCCTCCTTCACTTAGAGAGCTGTACGTGAATTCAGGTACTGATTTTTCAGTTTACAAGACCTAAATATTGAATCTTTTACTGAAATTGAAGTGACCCATTTCAAAAATTTGTGGCTTTGAAGGTTGTTATGGAGGCAGAGAATGGTGATACGAAGTCGAAGATGGAAGATTATGAAATAGTAGAGCAGATTGGGAGGGGAGCTTTTGGAGCAGCTTTTCTTGTTCTCAATAAGATTGAGAAAAAGAAGTAAGAAATTCCCTCATCAATTTTATTTTTGGGTTTTGGCGTGTGTGTGTGTGTTGGGGGGGGGGGGGGGGGGGGGGGCTATATGCTTATGAGTGTGTGTGAGCCTTTGAACATTTTCTGGGAAATTCTTATATCAGAAACTGTTTTAAAAATGGCAATCTGAAGAAGGCAATTAACAGGCTTGGAACACCTTAGTGCTTGTTGCTCCTTACTATCTACTCTAGATATTTGAAGATATTATACCAAAACAAGGGAAATTACTTCATGTGTGATTTTATCGGTAATATTAAGTGTGAATGCGATCAAAAGTTAACTTCATGTTTCCATTGTCAGCATGCCAGTTGCTTAGATGTTTGGTTTCTTTCTCTTTTCATGGAGTTTAACTTCAGTATTTTCTATTACCGGAACACAGGTACGTTTTGAAAAAGATTCGCGTGGCCAAGCAAACAGAGAAGTTCAAGCGTACAGCGCATCAGGAGGTCAATTTACTACGTTCAAAACTGTTATTGGCTATAGAAATTGATGGCATTCCATTGTAAATAAGGGTTATCATCCCACACTGAGAATGTGTCTCAGTTCTTTTTAGCTGAGTCCATTGTCATTTTTCATACCCTTCCTCTCATCAATCAAGCATATTATACACGATTTGTTTCCTTTTCTTTTTGGTCTTTTACACTGAGAATGTGACTCTTAACTAACCAAACATATTAAGAAAATCTAGTGTTCTTCATAGGGGCGGAACCAGGATTTTCTGTTGAGGGGGGTCAAATAATTACATAACAAAACATTTTCATTCAATGTGAGTCATTCAACAAGATCATTAATGTCAAATTTATATATGCACAGAATATATAAGAATCAACCTCATACAGTATAGTATAATTATTATTGTAATAAAACAAATAAAATTAATTGAAACTAGTCGAATTATTAAATGTAAAAATCAAATCAATTCATCAAATAATCAATAATTTGAATATTTTAAAATTTGTCCTCCTAGCTATATGACACTAATTTCACTTTACCACTACGTTATTTTTATTTTTATTTTTTTTTACCACTACATTATTGATTTGATTATATTGCACCATTAATAATTTGAATATTCTAAAATTTACAATTTTGTACAATACCAAAATCTAACGATTTATGAAAAATGTCACAATTTTAAATAGTTAATGGTCAATATGGTCAAATCAATAGTTGAGGATAAAATAAAATCAAGTTTATAATTTAATGTATAAAGTCTAATTTTAAGAATTTGAGTGGCATATAAAATGTGGTCAAAAACATAATTTTAGGAGTATAATGTATAATTTCAAAAGTTGAGGGGGCAATGGCCCCCCTTGGGCTATAACATGGCTGCGCCACTGCATATTCCAGTTTAGCATGTCGAGATTCGCATCTCATTTTGATCAATATGCGGTTCCTTTTGCATGCTCTAATTTTGTCTCAATAGCTCAAATTTGGTTATGCGGATCCTTCTTAGAAATATCTTGACTTTAAGACCAAAAAGGGTAAATTTTCTGTATTCTCCAAATAAAGTAAAACAATGTATTAGACAATGGATGCATAGTGGCACCTCCTGACACTATATCACTTGCGAAAAACAGAGGCAATTGATTTCTTCCTAGTGCATGGAAAATACACTTTTAGCTTAATCCTTGCATGACATTGTAATGTATGCAATCAAAGTCACCACCTGTCATATCACCATCTCTTTTGCTTTGATTGTCTTTTGTGCTCTTTTATTTTTAATCTAATTATAATTTCTGTAAATCGTCCGTTCTAGTTTTCGAATATTCCACTGGCACTACCTTCTTTTTTGGTTCTGATAGAAACTTACCACTAGTCAAGAAATTTTGAAAACAGAACAGTATCAAAACTGAAAAATTGTCTTAAGTTTTTCAACATGTCATCAACTAACAAGATAACCTCACAAATAGGCCCATGTATGAAGTAAAGGAGGGGTATCGGAGTTGATCAGATCCATTATTGCTGCTCCTTATGTGAGATTTATGTTGTATATGCCTGCAGATGGATTTGATAGCTAAACTAAACCATCCATATATTGTGGAGTACAAGGATGCCTGGGTGGACAAGGTAAATTCAAGGTTTCTGTGTGTGTTTATTTGTACAAGATTGGAAGGAAGCACAGCTAGCTATAGGATATAAATGAAACTGTTACTGCTGAAACTGAGTTTGTTCATATCTACACTAATTTGTTTTGTTTGCAGGGATGCAATGTATGCATTGTAACTGCCTACTGTGAAGGAGGAGACATGTAAGTAATCAATTCTTACTTTGACATACCGAGAATGCAATTATTCACATCTGAAACGTGGTATGAGAGATCCAATTCCGCATCATATGTTTGCTGCCTCACTTTCCTTTGTTAGAATTAGTTCAATAGTTCTAATACCACTTGTTTGGGGATAGGAGATCCAACTAGGGCGTACTCAGTGTACGACACTCCCGCCATTGTAGGGTCTGGGTAGAGTTAGACATACGCAGTTTTACCTCTGCAAGCAGAGAGATTGTTTGCACGACTCGAACTCATGACCTTCAGCTCACAATGGACCAACTTTACCGTTGCGCCAAGGCCCGCCTTTAGATAGTAGATCCAACTAAGAGGCTTAATAGTTACTACACAGATTGGAATTCAACCTTGCCTAAAAGCTTAAACCTATAGATGGGAAGTCCATTAATAGTATATTAAGGCTCTTTCATTTCTTTTTCTTTCAAACTTGCCTAAAAGCTTAAACCTATAGATGGTAAGTCCATTAATAGTATATTAAGGCTCTTTCATTTCTTTTTCTTCCTTCCAACATGGGTTTTCCACATGTATTATCTCAGCAACATCTCTTTCACGTGTGAACCACATCAGGTTTTTACTCCCCTTTGAGTCTTTTTTTGTGCTCTAGAGTACCATGACCAAATCACTCTTCACAAGAGTCTAGGTTTATTTTATTTTTAACTGTCGTTTTCACATGTCACCAAGTTATCTTCTATATCAAGACTCTGTCTATTCCTGTGTCTTATTCTACTCCACTAAGGATCTAGTGGTCAATCGTTTCACCTTTTCTATTGTGATACTGTGACCTCAATTTTAAGAGTCCATCACCTTTCTTAACACGCATCACTAAATGCTACGCCATTACAATACTGTGACTTTGAGTCCTAGAGCCCGTCACCATTCTTAATAGCCATTGTTAATACCGGCATGCCACACTACCGCTTTGAGAGTTCGCCCCAATCATCAGTCTTCAGGACTGATATCATTTGTTAAAACTACTTCAATAGCTTTAATGTCGCATGGTGGGACATAGGGATTCCACCAACAAGGCCCAATATACACATTTTGTACTTAAACTTAGTGAGCTCCTTCATAATGTATAAGGCGCTCTTGTTTTTTTTTTCCTTCCGATGTAAGATTTCTAGATTTGATATCTCAACATCCTTATCTAATAGTGAAGAAGAAACATATTCTAATGCATGCATTTAAAGTTAAAAATAAGTGAAAAGAAAATTAGACATTCTTAAATGATTGGATCTAGAAATGCATACTTTTTTTCTTTTCTTTGCTTTTTTCCTCCTCTTTTTACATTTAAATTCCTTTCCTGGACGACCAGAGCTGAGATTATAAGGAAGGCAAGAGGAGCATATTTTCCAGAAGAGGTAATTTAGAATAAATTTTATTTAGTTGAAGTTATTTTGTACATAAAATAGCCTACAGGCTCCTACTCTGCATTGTTCCTTTGTTTTGCTCCCCAGAAACTCTGCAAATGGCTGACTCAACTCTTATTAGCTGTGGACTACCTACATTCCAACCGCGTCCTTCACAGGGATCTGAAGGTGAACACATGTAGTTATTGTAATAGTGCAAAAAATGTGTTTTTTTTTTTGTTGTGTTTGTCTTGTTGTTGGGATTTTTTTTTTTTGGGGGGGAGTGAGAGAAGTGATATTTGACTTATGCTGACACAAACTTTTTTGATTGCAGTGCTCCAATATATTCCTCACGAAGGACAATGATATCCGCGTTGGTAAGAAGAAAAACAGAATTGCTTGGAGACATCGCTCCTTCCATCTTTTCTAAACAAATTTTTGTTTTGTGTGGAGTTTACAGGCGACTTTGGTCTTGCGAAACTGCTCTACACAGAAGATCTTGCCTCATCGGTATGGGTTCACTTCTCTATCTATGATTTTGGTGGTAAATTTGTCTGAATATCTCGCCAATTTTCAATCAGTATGGAAAAAATGCGTACAAAGTTGCATTCATTCCTAGCAAATAAAATCAAGGTGTAGAATCTACAGCATTATGCTCCAATCATGCCAAAAGTGTTCACCTCTACTTTATGTCTACTTAGTACTATACGAACTAATTATAATGGTGGTTATTTGTCAAGTGCCCAATTATCTTTTGCTTCAAGAACTAGGATCATTTCTTGAAAACACATTGCTATGTCTGGTTTTTGCATCAATTTTTAATATTATTTTCCCCTCTACTTTTATCAATGGCTTCCATATCTCGCGTAGGTTGTGGGCACTCCCAACTACATGTGCCCTGAGCTCCTTGCTGATATACCTTATGGCTACAAATCTGATATGTGGTCGCTTGGTAAGAAATGACAATTAATGTACACCTGTTCGCAACATCATGTCCTTGCAATTGCAAAGAATAACATTGTTCAACTATTTTAGGTTGCTGTATGTTTGAGATTGCTGCACATCAACCAGCATTTAGAGCTCCTGTAAGATCAGTCACACTTGAACTATGCGTATACCATCAGTCTCCTATATAACAAGAAGCAGAATAAGTTGCTTCTGTTGAATGTTGAGTGATATAAATCTGATTAATAGCTCAACTGGACAGGATATGACTGGACTAATCAACAAGATTAACAGATCCTCCATTTCTCCACTCCCAATTGTATATTCTTCTACACTGTAAGTGCTCTTTTGAAATCGAGAACGAACTCAGTAGTTCACTATATACTTGTGCCATATATAGAAAAGGATTTTTTTTTTGTGATTAGCCCTCGAAATCTTCATTATTTCATGCTGCAACAACATTTTGTGTCTCAACAGAAAGCAGATCATTAAAAGCATGCTAAGGAAGAGTCCAGAACATAGACCAACTGTGAGTTCATGCAGCACTCATACATGTCTGATTTTTTGAACATTGGGATCCATCCTAATTCCAAAATTTTCCCTATTTTCAGGCTGCAGAACTGTTAAGGCATCCCCATTTGCAACCATACCTCCTCCGGTGTCGCAACCCATCTTCTGTCTTTCTTCCAGTGAAGTCTCCTAGCAAAACACAGGATAAAACAATGAGAAAATCATCACCTAGCAAACTGAATGGTGGCAAAGACTTCAAAGACGGAGAAATAGAAGTACTAGGAGAGGCAGGAACATCTCCACCATTTAAGGAAAATGCAAATATGCAGCCAAGAAGTTTATGGATAAGTGATAACCCAATCTTCAACACTATGGCAGAAGACAACCTTGAGACTAAGAGGGTCGATCCTACAAGCTATTCTGCAAAGATCTCACATGATAGTGAAGATTCAATCAGTGGGGACACAAGTTGTGAGACAACTGTTTGCTATGGAGATGAGCAGGATAATATCAACTGTTTATCACAAAAGGAAAACACCGACCTTCAGAACAACACGATGGACACATCAAATTCTCAGCATGAAGAGCAAAAGCAACCTTCTGCTGAATTTGTTCAACAACTGCAAGAGGGTGATATCGAGAGTGAGGCAACAAAGAATCTGGAGGCATTAGCAGAAAGAAAGGGGGAGAGTTGCACTTCAGAAAACCGCAGTGGAACTACAATGTCCAGTGCAGGCTGTAGTGACAAAGTTGATTCCCTTGGTGAAGAAAATTTTTCATCAGTACAAACTGCGAGTTATGAAGCTGAGGATGAATCAAAGTGCTGTTTAGACAAAATGGAAAATCATGTTGCATGTGCCGACGAAGTCCAAATAGACTACATGTCATCTGAAAGTAATGATGCACTTCCATGTAACGATGAAGTGGGGGTAAAAGCAGATAATAATAGCCATTCGATTGAAACGGAGAAAGATGGCATTCAAGTGATAAATCAGGCACCAAGTCACATTTCAGTGCCAAGTACAGTTACCTCAATAGGAGGTGACGATACCAAGCGTGAGTCAGAGAGTCCAAGCCAGCAAAGAGCCGATGCTCTCGAGTCTTTGCTTGAGCTATGTGCACGATTACTAAAAGAAGACAAACTGGATGAGCTTGCTGGTGTGCTTAAACCATTCGGGGAAGAAGCTGTCTCATCCAGAGAAACAGCAATTTGGTTGACGAAAAGCCTCATGAACGCACAAAAATTTTCTGGGGATCCTAAAATTTGAAGAATTTTGAGATGGTAGACGTCTTTTCTTTCTCACTCGTTGTAAAAGTTGGTGGCTTTTCAGATGCTTTGACATAATTTTTTTTTTTCCTTCTGATATTTGATTGAGAACTACATGATTGGAACAAATATGTTATTGCAGATAGTCCCGAGCCTTAGATGGGAGTGAATCACTTTTTTCTTTGTGTGTTGAAGATAGGTTCCTACTGTAGTTTGATTGTCTTATATAGGATATTAACCAGAGCAGCTTGCTGCTTCCTGTTCAAGCGGAGCTCACTGCCTACTTCACGAGTCTCCACAGCTTTGTCTGCTAAAAGCCGTTAGATGATATTTGGGGCCTACTATTCCAACGGCTGACAATGATTTGTTGCACATTGCATTACTCATTGATTTTTTGTTAGAGGAATTGCAACTTGTATCATTGTGCCCTGTTTGGAATGTGGTAACCACAGCCTTGAATTGACCTCTAAAACAATCACAGGTTGGTTAGTCCAGTGGTGCAATATGACCTATCTTGCTCCTATTTCCTCCCATTCTCACCCCCCCCCCCCCCCCCAAAAAAAAAAAAAAAATGGAGGCAACGGTATGCTATAATGGATGAGTGATGTGGTATTGATCTACAGTACTAGTAGAATTAAAGGTAAACCGAAATTAACTTTGAATGAACTAATAAAATAATAACATACAGTTTCATCGAAAATATGACTCTTGATAAAGTACAATATAAGAACGGAGAGATCCCAAATGATTGGGACGAGGTTTATATGCTTCCACCATCGAAAAATGGCTGCAGCAAATAGGTATGGCATGCATTTATTTTCAAAACGAAAAAAAAAAAAAAAAAAAGACAGGACATATATTTGCTCAAAACTTTGTTAGGCTTTTGTCCAAGAAGAGGGCCAGGTATCTACCTAAGAGGGCAGGGGACAAAATAGGAATGAAAAAATTAATCAACTGGTATAAAAACATTTCATACACCTCCATTAATGATGACTAAAATGGATGTTATTTTTATTTTTATTTTTAAAAAGTGGACGTGGTAATATAATAAATTCATCATAGTCTTGTTTCTAGAATAAAGTACTCCTCACCTTTATATATATGCACCTCCGGCCCTGCATTTGTCATTTCAATACCTCATTTTTTTAATATTCCGTTTTGTACGATGAAAACATGGAAGAATAAAAAATTAAAAGGATAAATAAAATATCATATTTGGTAAGAAAAGAAAATAGGAAAGATGAAAAAGTGGATAGATTAATTTTCTTTCCAACTCACTAAAATCAATCCCTCCAAAATCGGAAGGAAAGTAGATGAAAAATTAATTATTTGTGTTGAAATGTATCTTATTTGTCTATATATTTTGTATACACTAATTTCATATAAAAATACAATGATAAATATATATATATATATATATTAAAAAAAAAAATTAAATTTTTTTTTTTTCATTTTAACTAGGGGTGAAAATTTTCGACTCAACACGATGACACGACACGACTCGACTCGAACTCGAACTTGACACGAATTTTATGACACGAACTTGATTTTAACTCGACACGAACTTGAAAACGACCTGACACGCAAACAAGGAATGTAAAAAGTTCATAATTTTATGACTCAACACGAATCTGACACGACACGACTCGATTGTCACCCCTAATTTTAGCCAGCACAAAAAAAAATTAATTATTTTTATTTTCCATCCATCCAACCAAACACAAAAGAAAGAACGTGTATCATTTCTACTTTTCACTCTTGAAGGATAGAAAGTGTATTCTTCCTACTTTTCATCATTCCTACTATCGATCTTTCCTACCAAACGGAGCATAAGAGTTAACTACTTATTTAGCCTCCAAACTATGTCATTTATGTCAATTAAGCCACAAATTATATTGTTTGTCAATTTAACCCCTAAATTATGTAATCTAACTCAATGTGGTTCTTCCATCTAAATTCGCAGTTTAATTTTGACAGAAACACTCACGTGGATATCACGTGGCCCCTAAACTATAACTTAGTCTCTGACTCACGTATGTACATGTGAGGGTTCCATCAAAGTTAACGACAACACATGAACGGAAGAGTCATATTGAGTCAGAGTACATTGTTCAGGGGCTAAATGGATATAAAACATTATTCATGGGCTAACTTGACATAAAATATAGTTCAGGGGCTTAATTGCTAAATAAATTATACTTTATTCCCTTGAACTATTACATTTGTTTCACTTTACACACTCAACTATATAATTTCTCACATTACACATTCAAATATCAATTTGATTTCATATCACTTTAATAGATGGCGGTTGTCAATTTTTTGACAGTAAATACACATGTGAGTGGTCTGTACCACGAATAAACAACTGCATATTACACATGTATAGGTCAAAAATTAAGAAAAATATACATCTATGACGTTATCCCTCCTAAACTCCAAATTTTCTTCCTTTGACCAATCTTTTTTTCCTTCCTAGCAACCATTTAATTGCAAAAAAAGTAAAATAAAGTTGTAGGCACTTGACAGAAAACTCTTTGGGGGTTTCCCTCCCTTTTTTGACAGATTTTCAAGTTTGTCGTTATCTATTGGAATAGTATGAAATAAATTTATACTTTATGGTGTAATGTGATAAATTTTATAGTTGAGAGTATAAAGTAAAACAAAAATAATAATTTAGGTGGACAAAGTGTAATTTACGCTCTAAAGAACACCATTATAGTCCCAGGTTTTACTTTGAGATCCATGAATACCAGTTGACCCACAAGCTTAGTAAATCAAAAATGCAGTTTTGATCAATTTTTCTATCCACTAAAATGACACAACCACCATTGAACACATTATTCGATTTACTAATCTAATGGCTCACATGAGTTGATTTTAAAAATTGTAAAGAATAAATATTTGTTATTATGATTATCCTGAACTGCGTAAGTTTTTTCATCCTCTCGTTTTTGGTTTTCCAAAAATTCAACAAACCAACCATACATAAGCTCGCCCCCTAGACTAAATGTTTGAGTTCCATCTATCAATGTATTGATAGGTGCAGTTGAGACTTCAGAACTTTTAAAGTTTATAACTTTGCCTAACACAGAAGTTCTATGGTAGAACCATCATAGGGATTAGGGAATGCCTCAAATGGTCTTCATTGCCCCAAGATTTGCTCAAGTATCCCTTGATTAAACCTTCCATCACCTAGGATTTGCCCCAAGAAAAAAGAAAAAAAAAATGAAAAACCTTCTCCTTGTACTTTTTTATCACAAAAATATCAATTCCACAATATGCCAAAAATTGAGAGTTTTTATGTGATCCCTATTTACCATTTTTTTTTTTGATGCCAACGAACGAATAATCGTCGAGTCTTTCTCTTTTTAAACAATACATACAAAGAAACCTGTCAATAGTCAAATAACTAGTGAATTTGCGAGAGATATTTTTCTATAGTATGTCTCTTCTATTATCTCTTATCTATCTATTTTTTTTAGTTCATCACTAGAGCAACTATGATATGAAAATCGATTTGGTATAAGTGTTTGGATCTATTATGACATGGTCATAAGGCGCTCAACGCACCCTTTTAATCTTATAATATGTTTTTTGTGCTTTGGATTGATGCAAACATGATCTTTTTGTACATTTTAATGTGTATTCATATGTCAATAGAGAGTATTCCAAAAGAGAAATAATTAACTTCAAACGGTAATATGAACGAACTGTAAATTCAGACGTCCTAAGTTTGAATATTTATAATCTCTTGAGGTCAGGTAATGAGAGATTTATCTCTCATAAATACCCTAGTTCCGACGTTGATGACTTGCTTTTGATTAGACTGAAAAGACAATTAGTCGAAGTGTGTAAATTGATTTGAATACCCCAAAGAGAGAGAGAGAGAGAGAGAGAGAATTGAAGAAACCAAAACTTTTCGAATGGAAGACAATTGAAAGGAGCTTAACAACTAACTTGTTCCGGTTCCCATCTTCTTACTATTTACCCATTCGAGATAAACAGCTCACCTAATTCCTCATGATTAATGGAAGACTAACCACCTTACCTTCCATGAAATAATCAATTTCACGACTGCGGTATACTAACGGGCATCAATCAAATTGTATCCTGTCATTTTGAATTCACGTTATATTTATATTGTGTCGTTTTGGATCGTGTTTCTTAGTTTCATTTTTGTATAACCAATTAACTAAAAATCATAAGATCAAAAAAAAAAATTTCCCTTCTCAATCAAATCTAGCTCAAAATTAATCACCAAATTAAAAATCTACTTGATTTCATATTAGTAAATTACAGTAAAAAATCATTTTACAACAATTCATAGCATAGTAAGTCAAAAGTTGAAGAAAATAAGAAGTGGTCCAATGTCCATTTATAAGGTGCCCCCTTTTCAACTGAATTGACACTGAGGTATGGACACAATTGCATTCACGTCACGCCAAATAGCTGGCTGAATTGAGTTCTCACCCACAAGAAAAACAAAGGTTGGGTCAGCAAGCTTCCAAATAAGAAAATAGTTACAATTTTTTTTTTTTTTTGTAGCTATAGGATATCCAGGTTTGTGGCGACTACTCCCTCGAATTCAAATACTAATCACAGTAATCCGAGCGGATTTAGAACAGGTCTCTTAAGTAACAAGGGTGACTGATTTTTAGGGAATTATGTTGAACCTGAGACTTATAAATTACCAAACAACAGACTCAGCCATTGAATTACCTCTGTGAGTTAATAACTACGAATTGACTTAAACAATAAACTACCAGGATACGGGTTTCTCTCTTTATCGTTTTTTATAGCAATACTAAGATTTAATTTATCGATCTTATTTATTAAGCCAATCAATAATGTCATTGGATTAATAGTCAACACTAATATTAATTGGAACTCACTATCAATCAAAGGGCAATAATACATTAGTTCCGCTCAAAATCCAAAAAATAACACCCACCATTATGTGTGACCTTAGTTATTTTTTTTCAGGCAAATTCCATCGTT